TCAGTGCGGCCACGTGGCTGCAAGTTCCTTCACGTGGAACTGCCAGCCGCCCCTCCACCGACTGTAAACACGGCCTTTATGGAGGGGAGGTCGGGGCGCTCGCTCCGCTCGGAGCCCCGGTGCTGCCGCGTCAGTGTTGGCCGGCGCTGCTGCGGTGCAGCCGCCCCTTCAGCAGGGGGGCCAAGGGAAACACCACCGGGCACGTGCGCTGTTGTGAAGGGGAGCTCCGCCCACGCACGCTGAGCGTGCCGCCTCATTGACAAAAAAGAATTCCATTCCTCAGTTCAATGTATCTTTGTGGCCCTCTCCACTGCAGTCCTGGCTTTTGAAATATGCCTTTGTGGAAAACATCTCTCGGTAAATAATCTTACATTGAGTCTTGGAAACTCAAAAGCAGATACAGTGGCTCGTTTGTGTGGGGCGGGGGGCGGGGGGAGGTGGGGAGTGGCCCACTTCAAAACCGTCAGCTCTCACCTATGAAGGGCAGGGAGAGAGAGCCCTCCCGAGCACCTGCCCTGGCGGGCCTTGTGCTGCTGGGTGCTCTTGCATTCGTTCGCGAGACCCTCAGAAGAGGTAGGGTCCTCTCCCCACATTCACAGAACAAAACGCCGAGGCTCGAGGGCCTGCCCAAAGTCCCACTGTGAGGCGGTGGGGCCGCCAAGATCTAAGCCAAGGAGGGCTCCGGCCTCCGAGTGTGGGGTTCCGGCCCCACCCCCACACTCCCACCGCGGCGACCTCAGTCAGAGCCGGCCCCTCGCCTCGCCCCCCGCAGCCACACTGCATGCGGGCCGCGGGCACAGACTTCGCAGCACAGCAAGCCCTTCTGACCAGCCGCCTCCACGGAGTCACAGGGCCACCTCGCTGCTGCCGTTTTCTGCTACCTGATCGTTGGCCAGTGTTCTGTGCTTAATGCTTTTCTCACTGATTTTCACCCATCACTTAATTTCCTGACCGCCGCCGAAGGAAAAGGGACTCTGTCTGAATGCAGGAGCTCTGCCGGGGCTCTGCGTGGGCTTCGGAGGGCAAACCGTTTGGAAACGTGGTTGCGGACGACAGCGAATGGGTCCCGGCTACCGGGAGAGAGGCAGGGCGCAGGGACGTACGGGGGTCCTTGGTAACAGCATCGCATACCTGCTCGGTGGTGTTAGAAAGCAAGTCATGCCGAAAAGCCCACTAGAGGGTCTAGAGCGCTTTCCAAATTCTTAAAGGGACCGGTGATCCCAAAACATTTAAAACACTTGCCTTTTCAGGGGAGCTCTCTGTAGAACTGCCCCAGGAAAAGCTAAAACCGTTGACGAAAGTAGCTGGGCCGGCAGGGGCCCTCTCCCGGGACCACCGAAGCCCCGCCCCACGTGGCACCGCCCTCAAAGCGGCCTTCCCGCTAGAAATGCGCAGGAGCCCTGCGGTGAGGGGCCCCGCTGCTGGTTTCCAGGGCGTGTTACTCCGCAGGCTTCTGCCGGGTCTTCCGGCCCAGCCCTCGCACCCAGCAGTCCCTCCTGTGCTTCTGCCGCGGTCAAGGCTGGGGGGCCTCCCATGCCCACTGCCCACTCTGCTCCAGCTGCAGGGGACAGACTCCCCTTCTCAGCCATGGGCCCTGGGGCTGTGGGCCGAACTCAACCAAAACTTTTTCTCCTTCGTGAATGCTCCTGCTGGGGCCCTGCCGCCCCTTCCCAGGATGGAAGAGGCACCAAGCGAAGGGGGAAGCAGCCTCCTGTGCCCGATCTGCTGCCAGGCGGTGCGTGGGGTGGCACCCACCCTCTGGAGGGGAGAGCAAGCTGGTGGACAGGCAGATGGGCGAGAAGCCGGTCCTGGAGGCTGGAGGGGGCTCGCCCCGGGTTAGCTGTCGGCGGTGAGCGCCCACGCCAGCCTTTCTTCTCCGCCCTGTCCTGGGCTCTGCGGACGGAGGGGCGGGCCAGGCCAGCCCCCGCCTGCCCGTCAGGTTCCAGGAGGCTGCTCAAGCACAGCGGCAAGGACCCAGGAAAAGCCCACCTGAGATGCGTGACGAAGCCCCCAGACCCACACTTTTCTTGGTCCGCCATCCCACGTGGACTAATGGAGCCCAACCACCAGCCAGGAAGGAATGGAGAAGCTCGATCTGCACAGGTGAAGCTGAGCACGCCTGCGGCAGGAGTCACCCCAGCCCCCCCATCCCCCTCCCCCACACACAGGGCGGGAAGGACGTGATTCCCCAGGACGGAGGCGGAGAGGAGGCGGGTGAGGTCGGCTCCTCCCTCGCTGGACCTGAGAGCAGCCCCACACTGGCTGCCAGCGCAGTACCTGCCAGGCCTGGGGCTCAATAAATACTTGCTGAGTAAACACACACATTAATAGAAAGAACAAGATGGAATTTTCCTAGCACTTTTGATCTTAAGCATCTCGGTTTGGGGAATATTTTGAAGAGAAGCTGAAGCAAAGTGTGGCGATTTTATTTATTTTAAAATGTAAAGTTACTAAAATAAATATGTAGGTCAATGGCTAGGTCCTGAAAACCTTTCCAATGTTCTTCAGATGAAGGAGGAAGAAGAACCAGGCATATTTGCACATTGGTGACTCAGGTTTGTGCCTCCTTGCCGTCGGCACTGACGACTGAACTCGGGAAACCGCAGGGAACGTGGGGGTGGGGAAGGGGGAGACCTTTGGCTGGGGCTGCTCAAGCCCAGAAAGGCCCAGAAAGTCCCAGAAAGTCCCAGAACGCGTCTGGTCTCAGAGTCAGGAGAGAGGCAGGGATTGGGGTGTGTCCTGGGCACCACCCCTGAAGTTCACAGACCTGCCCGTGGGACAGCCACCTCAGAACGTGGGACCAACAAGCATTTGGCCCCAAGTGAGCTTTGCTTGGAAAACGCACAGGCGAAGCAGGAAGGGAACCTGGTTCCCCACAAGATGCTTGGAGGCCAGTGTCTGAACCCCAGAAGCATCCCGAAATCGCTGGCTACGTGGCCAAATCTGGGGCACTGCTTGGGCCCCTGTGACTCCTCGCAAGTCCATTTACTGAAAACCGCAGCAACTGCCCCCGAGCGCTGTCAGCGAGAAGGCGCGTGTGGAGTCAGCGTGAGCGCCGCCGGCCGGCCTCCGCCCACAGTGCCCGGAAGGGCAGCCAGCCCATCCTCGGACGGGGCGAGGCCACCGGAGCCCGCAAGGGGCTGAGGAATGCCGCTGCATTTCAGTGGGCACGCGTCTCTCTTTGCCAGCGTAACCAACTTCGAAAGAAAAATCACTCCAGGAACTCCACACGGACGGCCTCAGTAACCCTTACAACCTTAAATGAGGTAAAGATGATCTCCCTTCTGGAAACAGGGAAACCGAGGGCTTGGAGAGGTGAGGAGCTTGCCCAGATCACACTGTGAGGGACGGGAGGGTGGGGAGCGGGCGGAGTCCAGGCATCCTGACCCCTAGCCCTGAACTCCTGTCTTTATGTCGCATTTCAGTGGTTCCCCTTATTCCTTGGGGGGTGCATTCCAAGATCCCCAGTGGGTGCCTGGAACCACAGAGAGTACCAAACCATGTATGAGGTCTGTCCAGTGGAAGTCCAGTGGACAGAAAAAGTCCAGCCATTGTTAATATAATGAGAACGGTTTGCACAACAACGACGTAACCTGGCAGCCAAGGAGAGTGGACTGGAATGCACATGCGTGAACAATGATGACTTCTCAGTACTAGTCAGTGGGGGCGGTAGATGCCACTCAGTGAGCATGTGCACTGTGTGGCCGTCGCATTCAAAATGACTGAGTAGAGCAATGAATCTGCATCAAATTTTACATTAAGCTTGAACATCCCTCTGAGGATGCTATTTGGATGATTCAGAAGGCAGCAACTATGGGCAACTGGTGATGGGCAGCTTCATCATGACAATGCACCCACTCATGCATCACGTCTCATGCAGAGTTTTTTGGAGAAACATCAAAACACCCAGGTGACTCAGCCCCGCTACAGCCCATGTTTGGTGCCCTGTGACTTCTGTGTTTTCCCAAAACTAAAATCACCTTTGAAAGGGAAGAGATTTCAGACCATTCATGAGATTCAGGAAAATATGACAGGGCAGCTGATGGTGACTGGGAGAACTGTGTGAGGTCCCAAGGTGCCTACTTTGAAGGGGACTGAGGTGTCATTGTCCTATGTACCAATGGTCCTTGTATCTTGCATCTTCTTCAATAAATGTCTGTTTTTCATATTACATGGCTGGATACCTTCTGGACAGACATATGATGTTTTTTCCCATATATGCATACATACCAGTGATAAAGCTTAATATATTAATTCGACACAGTAAGAGATTAACAATAATGGAAAATAAAACAATCTAAACATACCAAAAGTTATATGAATGTGCTGTCTCTCTCAGCAAAGTAGCACAAATTTCTTTTTCCTTTTTTACAATTTCACAAAGAGAATATTCGTTCTTATCATAGACCTTAGCAACCTCAGCAGACACTTTTCCCTTTCCTTAATAACTCGGTAACTCTCACCTTTTCCCTTCAAGCAAGCACTCGGCAGCTTCTCGGCGGCACGTCCGAGTTGCTGGCACACTGCTCTCGCACTCTGCGGCCGTGTGTGAGCAGAGTGACTACGAGCGCTGCGACACGGTGGCCGCTGGCCTGATCGCCAAGGCAGCTGCTCCGTGACGGATGGGCGGGGAGGGCGCACGGCATGGGCCCACCGGGCAGGGGGTGATGATTCACGTCCCCGGCGGGAGAGAGTGGGAAGGTGTGAGCTTTCAACACGCTCCTCAAAATGGCATGCAATTTAAGTTTTATGAATTATTTCTAGAATTTTCCATTTAATATTTTCAGACCATGGTTGACTGTGGGACTGAAACCGCAGGAAGTGAAACTGTGGATAAAGGAGATGACGGCCCCGAGGCTGGGGCTGCTTAGGGTGCAGCCGTGTGTGTGCGTGTGTGTATGCATGTGTGTGTGTGCGTGTGTGTGTGTGAGTGGATGTGACTCAGGGCTCTGGTGACGGGCAACAGGGAGGGCTGTGACATGCACACGTCTGTGTCCCAGGCCCGTGGAGAGACTGCCTGCAGGCCCTGGAGGACGGCCATGACACCAGCTCCATCTACCTGGTGAAGCCCGAGAACACCAACCGGCTCATGCAGGTGTGGTGCGACCAGCGACACGACCCCGGGGGCTGGACCGTCATCCAGAGGCGCCTGGACGGCTCCGTCAACTTCTTTAGGAACTGGGAGACGTACAAGGTGAGGACTGTAGGCCTTGCTGTGCCGCCCACGGAAAGACTGTGTCCCCCCCGCCCGCCCCAAGAGCCTGGCTGACCAGGGAAAGGGCCACCAGAGGGAAGGTGCGTGCGGACCCACCAGGGCCCGTGCCGCCCCACACCGCGAACCTCCGCGGCAGGAAGGACACTGACAGGGTCAGTTCTGCCAGCCCGCCGGCCCCCTCCCTGCCTGCCACTCACAGCTTCTGCGAGACAAGAGTCCGCGGTCCAGGCCGCCAAGCCCGGTGGACGGGGTGGGGATTTAGAGATGCTGGTGTGTGGTGGCCCCTCACTCGAGTCTGGCTGTGTGGGGAGCAGCCTCCTCCCAGCTGCGGTGTCCCTGGGGAAGGACGTTTTCGCGCACAACCCAGAAGGGCCGAGTCCAGAGGCTCCCCAGGGGCTGTCGCAGGGGCCTGTGGGCCCTAATTCTGGAGCTCATTCTCGGGGATCCTGATTCCCAGGGGGCTGCATACTCATCCTCACAGCGGGAAAGGCCGCTAGCACTGGGCCGTGGCTCTGCCTCCCCCCTCGGACCGACGCGGTGGTGCTACAGACAGCAGCTCAGCTTGCTGGGTGCCGGCCAGGTGCCACCTGGCCTTGGGCGCCACCTGCTTCTGGGCCCCTCTGCCTGGGGCCGAGTGTTGGTCGCATGGCCAGGCTCTGCTGGCCAGGGCACTGCGTATTATTCCCGCTAACGCTCTCCCGCATTTCCCCCAGCAAGGGTTCGGGAACATTGACGGCGAGTACTGGCTGGGCCTGGAGAACATCTATTGGCTGACGAACCAAGGCAACTACAAACTGCTGGTGACCATGGAGGACTGGACTGGCCGCAAGGTCTTCGCGGAGTACGCCAGCTTCCGCCTGGAGCCCGAGAGCGAGTATTACAAGCTGCGGCTGGGGCACTACAATGGCAACGCGGGCGACTCCTTTACCTGGCACAACGGCAAGCAGTTCACCACCCTGGACAGGGACCACGATGTCTACACAGGTAGGACCAGTGGGGTCAAATCCAGGGGGAAACTACAGAAAAGTGGTCAGCCGAAGCCAGAGCCCCAGGCTCCAGGGCCTGGGAACTGGAGGGGCCCGAGGCCCAGTGCCCCGCCACGTGACCTTCTCCCTGCCCCCAGAGGTCCTCTCCTCTGCGCACTGCCCACAGATCCTCTTTGCAAAGCTGGGTCAGAGGGACATTTACAGAAAGGGAAAGGGAAAGAGGTGTACAAATTATACCTCTGATGGCCAGTCTGGGTACACTCACATCACCTCTCTGCCCAAGGCACCAAGTGTCAGGGCTACACACCCCCACGGATGGACGCTGGGCCACACGCCCTAGAATGTGATGCTGGCCCCATTCCCTACCAGTCACGTGCCCTTGGGCATCCTGTGTCGTCTGCCTGGGCCTCAGCCTCCATATGTGGCAATGAGGAGCCGGGAGAAGGCTGTTTTAGGAGCCGCCGTCAGGCCCGCCTAGAAGTGTGGTCAGTGGACAGTGAGGAGCTGAGCTGCTGGTCCCCGTGGGCACGTGGTGTGAGCTGAGCAGGGGCCTCCGCCGGCAGACGGGAGGCCGGCTCTTTGACCAGGGCCGTCCCTGCTCCCCAAACCCAGCACTGCCCCTCGGTCCTTGTGGCCTCGAGGCGTGGCTCAGAGGAACCCGAGAAACAGGCTGGGGAAACCTGGGCTGTCGGGGCTCCCCTCAGCTTTCTGCCTCAGCTGGCCGCTCCCTCCTCACCTCCTCCTGAGGCCTCGGCCAGAGCAGGGCCACCAGGCCCACCAGGGCCCCAGCCTACAGGCTGGACTGGGGCAGCCCTTTCCCTGAGTGGCCGCCTGCTTCCTAGGCCTGGTCCAGACACCAGGAAGGCCCCTCTTTTGACTCAGAGCAGCCCAAGCAGCGTGGCCCCTCCGCCGCCACCCTCCTGTGGGGGCGGTGCCCCTGCGCCCGCTTGCACCTTGCCCATGCTTTTCCTGCGGTGCCAAGCAGCTTGTCCTTGGCAGAAAAACCCAGACTGATAGGACAGTGCCAAACGTTTCATAAAAATATCTTTCTTTTATGAAATTAAAAAAAATGTTTGGCCGGAATGCTGGCTGGAGAGGGAGGAGAATTTTCTCTTAAACACTTCCTTTGCCATCCTATAAAGACTCCCGATCCAACAGTTTCAACTCTTTAAAAAAAATTCCTAAGACAAACCCTTTTGCCTCCTGCCCCGCCCACCTCAGGCCACTGCCATCTTCTGTTCAAACCCAGGGTGTGCCGTCCCCTCCAGCGCTCCCTCCGCACCAGGCCCCGGGCCACGTGCCTACCACGTGCCTCTATTCAATTCCCACAGCAGTGCTGTGCGGGACGCATCATGTCTACCCTCATTTTACAGTGAGAATGTGAAGGCTCGGTGAGGTGAAGTCGCTTGCCCAAGATCACACAGCTCGTTGGTCAGAAGGCCGAGCCTCAGCAGGCAGGCCTGGGCGGGTCTGACACACAGTCCCCCTCCCAAGCGTTCTTGCTCCAAAGGCCCCCCCCCCAGACAGTGTCCTGCTGAAGTCCCCCAGCAAGCGGTGGGCGCGGGCAAAGCCACCTCCTCCCTCACACCTTCCCGTCCCCCTCTCTCCCGCAGGAAACTGTGCCCACTACCAGAAGGGAGGCTGGTGGTACAACGCGTGCGCGCACTCCAACCTCAACGGGGTCTGGTACCGCGGGGGCCACTACCGGAGCCGCTACCAGGACGGAGTCTACTGGGCTGAGTTCCGAGGGGGCTCCTACTCACTCAAGAAAGTGGTGATGATGATCCGGCCCAATCCCAACACCTTCCACTAAGCCAGCTCCCCTCCTGACCTCCCGTGGCCTTTGCCAGGAGCCTTCCCCTGCCACGCTGGCCCCAGAGCAGAAAGCACCTCCTCGCCACTCCGCCGGGGGCCGGGAGGACCGGGATGCTGGAGTCTGTCTTCCCCAGTCACTGCGGCAGATAACGGAACTGGATGGGACAGTGTTCTCTGTCCCCACAGTGGTCCTCACGCCAGACAGCCCCTCGGGTTTCCAGACAGGACTGCAGACCGGTCTTTCTTTAAGTTAATTAAGTCCCTACAATAAAAACACAACTTCAAAATACCTTCATAATATACACGTGTATGAGCCGACCTTGCACACTTGTGTGTATACTACATATATGTGCATTTAGATATATGGCACATATAAAAATCTAGATACATATATAGGTTTGCCTTCTACACCTAAACACACATATACCTGAGCTCTTACCAACAGCACTGCCCTTAGGAGAACAGCATTTCCCCAGGTTGTGTGACTTGAGTCACAGGCTGCAGAGCTCTGTCCTTCAAAGACTGATCCTTGGCGTCCGCATGCCGAACTCCTCCAGGAGTGCCTGCCTCTCTCTCTCTCTCTCTCTCTTTTACCGGTTTCCAGCTTCCTGACTTAAGGCCCCCTTTGGGCACCTGGTCAAATTGCAAAATCCCCCTCCATCTCCATCTCTACACTCTCCCCGATTCTCAGGACTTCTCTACCCATCTGGCCGCCCGCCCCTCGAGTATTCATCTGGTCAACCCCCGCTCCCTAAGTGCCCTGGGCATGAGTCCTCGGCCGCTCACTGCACTTCCAGGGACCTTTCTGCTCGCCTCTCCCCCACGCCGTCCTTCCAAGATTCCTTAGCCTCTGAGTAGGAAGACAGTCTGGGCTCCAGCGCTCTGGCCAGGAAAGGCCAGGCCAGGCCAGGCCCAAAGCTAACTACCAGCCACACAGGTAATGCATTTGCAGTTTTGTATTTTCCATTCACACGTTAGCCTACATGTCATTTTAATCTTCACAGAGATAATAACCTACCTTGCCCAGGAGACACTCCATTGAAGAGAAGCCATCATCTGACCATCGGGACCCCCGGCTGGCTACAGACCACAGGGCCTGCGCTCTCAGGCCGACTAGAGTCCACACCTCACCCCCTAACGACACTTCCCCGGAGAACGCAGGCACCACTGAATGAGAGCTGGCCACTTCTCGTGAGTCACTGAATAACCGGGGGCCACCGGCCCCTTGTCTGTTGCATCGCAGCAAGGTAGCTTTCCAAGCCCGCTGGCTGCGAAGTGTCCGACTCGGCACTGCCAGAACTATCGTCAAGCAGGGAGCAGAGATGGGTCGAGGGAAGAGCCTCCCGGTGGGCGCGTGGGCCGGGTGTGCGAGATGTTGGCACATTTGGAACTGTCCGTGTCTGGGTGTGTGCCTATTACCTCAGCATTCTCACGAAGTGTACCATGTAGCGTGTTTTGTGTATATAAAAGGGAGGGTTCATGTTTAATATATTCCCAGATTATCCTTGTAATGGCACAAATCTGCAATAAAAGCCATCAGTGGTATTTGGAAGTATCTGCACTGCGTGTTAATGTTTTGGAATGCCTTCCTGGGACCCCCTATATCAGAGCCTCTCTCAGTGAAACCAGGAGGAGATTCAGACCAGGGACGTGCACCAAAATCATTTAAATCACCCTCTCCCTGTCTCTGGTCCCCACTGACACCCCAGGAGCCCCACGACAGCATCCCAGGCTGAGACGGTCCCGTGGAGTTCCACGCCCTTACGGGTGTGGCCTGGATGTCCTGGAGACGCCTCCAGGCAGTGTGATCAGCACCTAAAACACCTTCCTCCAGGTCTGGTCCCGTTCCACCGAACGGCGCCATCTACTCAACTGCTCAGGTCAGACAGGACTTCTGTCTCCCGCTCACCAAGGTCCACCCATCTCTGCACTCCAGCCCCGCTCTCTGCCTCAGGGTGACCACTCGCCTCTCCTTCTGCCTCACTGTCACCTAGCCTCCCAAGGCTCGCATCCCCATGCTGGAGCCGGTGCAAAACCATTCCTGCAGGGGTGGCCCCGGGCTGGTCCTATAGCGTCCGCACCCGGCCCACCGGCAGCCTGCGAAAGAAGTGCAGGAAAAACATCCTGGGGTGAGGGAATGAGTTGTCCCCCACCACCACAGGGAGGGTGGGTGTGCCCCTCACTCTCAATCAAGTGAGAGGGACTTCAAGGGACCATCCAAGAGTCTGGCGTGGGCACGCACGAGCACTGCCGCCTGACCCGGGCCTCGAGTCTGCAGGCCTCAGGCAGGGAGCGGCGAGAAGCTGACCTCGCTGGCAGCAAACAGCAAGCCCACTGGTGGGGGCGGGGAGGCAAGGACTCACTCAGGTCTCCTAGGAGCCAGAGGGTGGCCTGGATGGGGGGCAGGTGGAAGGTGTGGGAGGCCAGCAGCCAATCAAGGAGTCGTAAGCTGGAAGAGAAGCCTTACCCTCCCAGGGCAGCTGAGTCGGTGGTGCCCAGAAGGGAAAGTCTGAAGCAGCAGCAGGAACAAGGGAGAAGAGGCAGCAAAGAGGGAAAAAGACAGCAGGGGCACAAGTTCTGGACAACAACCCAACCAGCCACAAAAGATGACCGCTTACCCCTCACTTCTCCCTCAGCCCAAGGGCCACACCCCTAGGCCCGCCAGCGGGGAAAGCAGGACAGCGGGACCCAGAGGGGACGCTGCCCGGAGCCCGCCCCCGGCCCCGGCCTCTGGGTCTGGTCCGGCTGCAGGAGCCCAGTCTCCCGGTTCTGACACTGGGACGCCGTCTGGGACGCCCTGACTGTCAGGGCGTGACTGTTCTGTCGTGCCCTCTGTGCACACAGGACGCGACAACTGGGCTTTGTCACGCCCAAGAGCAGGCAGCTGGAGGGGCCTGCCAGGTTTTCAGCCGCGACTGGGAATAAAACGAGTAGGCTGCAAAGCTGGTTTCTTCCCACACCTGGCCGAGTCCAGCTCATTTAGTAAGCTGGTTACGCAAGGACACGACGTGTCTCCCAGAGTCCACGCGCAGGGATGCAGCGGGGCCTCCCCTCCCCGGGGCTGGGAACCAGATGCTGTCTGGAAGGCCGTCAAGAAGCAAGACAACAGCTTTCTCCGTCTCTCCCCTCCCCTTCCCTCTTCCTTGCTGGCAGGGTCTCTTTCTCCGTTTCCCACCACACATCCATCTGCCTTCCCAGCACGGAATTCCTGAGCTCACACGCCCTCCCGCTCTGGGCGCCGGCAAAGGCCGAGAAGCACCTCTCCTTTCCCACGCCAACTGCCGGCCGGAGGGTCCGACCGGCCCCTCGGGGTGGGCGTCCTCCTCAGTCCCCCCAACTCTGCCTCTGCACCGAGCGGGCAGGATGAACATGGCTGCTGGAGTCCAGTGCTGTGGGAGAGGCTGGGGAGTTCCCAGGTTCCCAGAAAAGGAGGGCTCACGGCTTGGGTCTATTTCCAAAAAGTGTCTAGACTATACTCCAGCTCTCGCCGGTCCCCATCTTCTCCAGGGACCAGATTTTGCCAGCTAGATGAATTCCGTCCCACTCCGTCCTGGGTAGGTTGCGCCCCACCTCCGGCCCCTCCACTGCTGACCCCGGCCCTCACCAGAGAGCACATCCAACCCCTCTGGTCCCCGCTGGGTCGCTACACGACAACTGTCTGTGCCCAGATGGGGCTCTTCCTGCCCTTCCTCGATACGCTGACTTTTTCAACACTCTCCGTGGATGAGTCTCAGGGGTCTCCACCGTGGTGGTCTTCCTGGCAGCACTTTGCCCTGGCTGATGCTCACACCACCCACCACCTAAGGTGTCTCCTCGCACTCTCACAACAAGCCTGTGGGGCGGGGTCTGTAATTACCCTCCTCTCCACACAAGAGAAATAGAGGCTCAGAGGTGCAAGGGACCTGACCAGGAACGTGCAGTCTGGGACACTCAGGACTTGAGCTCCTGTCTCTGCGGCATCAGACCTCTGCCCCCCGGGGCATCCACCTGAGTGGCCAAGGCTCTCCCGTCGCCCATGACCACTCCAAGATGCCTAAGAATCATGGCAGCGCGGAGCCTCCTGCCCACAGGAGCGGGTGTGTGAGGTGGCTGGCCAGCCCGGCTGTGCAGAGGCAGCTGGGTGGACGGCAGTCCCCAGAGGTCAGAAAGCCAGCTCAGGGCTACGTGCCCAATTTCAGAGCAGTGGGCAGGGCACAGAATAATAGAGGGCAATGATGGAGAGTATTTCATAGTTTCTCGGGGCTCCCAACCCTTTGCCAGGACCAAAGCTCTTGGGCCCTGCCTTTCTCCCTTCCTCTCATGGGACAAGAGAGCCACTTATCGTACAACCTACAGCCCAGCCCCACCCTTTGGCACTCAGAGTGTCCCTCTTGTGGCTGGTCTGGCTGTCACCTCGTGCTCACATCTGACCCCATGGGCTGGTCAGGGTGTGCTCCCTCTGCCCCTCCTTTAGCACATGTACCCTCCTGAAGCTGAGGGGCATCTCACGATAGAAGAGAACTCCTTGCCCTGACTGGTGTGGCTCAGTGGGTTGGATAGCATCTTGCAAACCAAAATGTTGCCAGTTCGATTCCCAGTCAGGGCACACGTGTGGGTTGCAGGCCAGGCCCGTGGTTAGGGGTATGTGAGAGGCAGCTGATCAATGTTTCTCTTCCTCTCTTTCTCCCTCTGTTCCCTTCTCTCTAAAAATAAATAAATAAAATCTCAAAAAGAAGAAGACGAAGAGAGCTCCTTGGGCAAGGGTGGACAGGCCACACTTTCCCTGACCGTTAGCAGAGCTGGGAGTGGCCCAGAGCCTGGAAGCATAGCTAGTGTAGAGGGGATGGAATCAGAACTCCCTTCTGAGGTTCTGTGATGACAGAAGCCAACGCCCTAATCATCTCAAATTAGGGAGAAAATGAGAAGCACTTGGCCTCCCTGGAGCCCAGAATGCTGACAAAGCCCCAGACCAGTGTGCGCGGGGAATGAATTTCTGCCAGCCTCCTCTCAGCAGGGACCGACAGCCAGGCGGCCTTTCCTCACTGATCAGGACGGCGCGGGGCCGTGCCGGAGTGCAGGGCCGTGCTGGGGCGCAGGGAGAGCGGTTGAGGACAGCTATTCGGGACGCAGGAGCAGGAGCAGGAGCAGGAGCAGGAGCAGGAGCAGGAGCAGGAGCGCAGGGAGGCTGAGCAGCTGGGTGGGAAGCCCGAAGGCCTGGCTGCCTAACCCCAGAAGGGCCCAGGACACATGTGTCTGGAGGGGAAAAGCGGCTTCCCTTCCAAGAGCACAGAGGAGCGGTGGGAAGAGAAATGTGTGTTAAAAGACGTCCTCTTCCACCTATCATTTTATCAGAAAAACAATGGCTGGCAGTGCCTAGTGCTGGCGCGAGGGTGACACGCAGGCCGGCTCGCACCGTGCCGCTGGACGCGTCACTGCGACCCCTGCAGGGGGCACGCCGGCAGCAGCCCCGGCAGCCCCACTCCCCGAAGGCAGGGTTTCAGAAGCACTCTGACAGGCGAGCGAGGGTCCGTGCGCAAGGACGTTCCCCACGCACAGCCCGCCACGGGAGCAGGAGACGCAGCCTACCGACCCCCAGCTGGGGCAGGGCTGAGCTATGAGCGCGCACCCGGGCACTACCCAGCGAGTCCCGCGCGTCTGTGCCGTCGGCAAGAACCAGGTTCTGTACTCGATGCCACTAAGTACTGATGGCACTGTAAGTGGAACAAAAAGATGCAAAACAGGACCTACAAAACGTCCCATTTTGGCTAAAAAGCACAGCATTACTCTCGCATCCCTGCGCGCACGTATTCATACAAGTGGATTAAGAGGTCTGGACAAATGCACGCCCACCCGCAACAGTGGCTGCCTCTGAGCAACGGGGGAGCAAGGAGGGGATTTTCGCTTTTTACGTCACAGACTTTTTTTCAGTGTGAGTGAGTTTTACAACGAACATTACCTTTCTAACTTAATAAGCTTTTGAGAGAATGAGTGGGTGCTGCGCCCACTCCCAGCACAGCCTTTCCCAGCACTCCCGAGGGCAGCCTTGTTTCCCGGACCCCGCAGGTCTGGGCGTGACGCCCCCTGCAGGCCAACACGCACTTGACAGGGAACCGTGGCCCTCCCGAGGGTGACCTTCAGGCCCTCCTCAGGCAGCTTTCTTCCTCGGGGAGTCGCAAGAATTCGTCTCCCCTCAGAGTGCAACCACGCCTCTGACCTGCAGGGTCTCCCGCCCTCGAAACTGGTGCCTCAGGGGGACCTAGCGCTTCCTGCTGGCCCAGAGGTCAGCCTTGCAGTCTTCTGTGTCCAGTGTCACACCTGATCTCGTCCCAGCGCAGATGTGGCGGCTGAAGGGGCTGAGTGATAAGTGCGGGGCCACGATGCCGATCGCGCATGCACTGGCTATCCGGTGTCGTGTCACAGGTTACCCCCAACTTGAGCCGCTTCCAACAATAAACACTGATTATTTCGTACTTTCTGTGGGTCAGGTACTCGCATGTATCTTAGCTAGACGACTCTGGTTCGAGGTGTCTCAAGCAATGTGGTTAAGCTGTTGGGTGGGGCCTGCCACCTCGTCCG